TGAACTGAAACTGATACATGCTGATGACTGCGAGGTTGATGGGTAGCTGGCTACTAGTTTCAGTTGAAACTGGAACAATTGATCCAACAGTTACATCTATGGATAATCCGCTGATTGTTGTGTTACTGGGCTATTAGACTCTGTATCTGAAGTCCTAATTGAGCTAGATTCATAAGATGCTTGAGAAGATTGAGTGGTAGATTCGGAAGTAGAGCTTAAGCTTGATTCATGATTCGAAGTTTGAGAAGAGGGAGAACCAGATTGATCTTTTGCTTGGTCAGATCCAGCGTTAACGCCATCATGAACGGAAGTAATAGTTGAGCTGGATTCTTGAGATGTTTGATTATTAGTTGCAGACGCTGAGTTAGAACTAGTTTGCTGATTGGACGATTGTGATGGTATTTCAGATGAACCAGAGTCGTTATCATTTGAAGTTATTATGACGACAACTTTGTTACCATCAGACGTACTAGAATTTGTGGACTGAGTTGTAGGTTGATTAGCTTCAGATGTAGCTGCAACTGAAATCGATCCATGATTGCTTGTTTCTGATGAAGCTGCTGAACCAACAGTAACATCTTCATAAGAATCACTTGAAAATTCAACAGCAGTTTCATCAGATAACGATGCATTAGGTTTTGTTGTATGATCTTGACCTGCGGATAAAGACTCGGCGTTCCATGCTTGGGTAACGGTCTGAGAATAGAGATCAGAATGTTTAGTACTAGTTTCATGCTCATTGATTTTGGATTCAGAGTTGTGGGTTTTTTCAGATGAATCAACATCCTTTTTCGTATCTGTAGGTTGGTTTCTATCAGAAGAGCCGGAGGATACAGGCGTATCTACAACCAATTGTACACCAGAAGAAGAATCTTTCTTTGATTCGCTTGCTTGGGATTGCTTGGATGATTCAGAATCTTTCGTAGGTTCAACAGTTTGTTTAGTAGAAGAAGGTTCAGATGAAGAGTCAGAAGATTTTTTATCATTTGAATTTCCAGACCTAGTATCCTGAGAATTGGATACTGGCGTGTCTACAACCAATTGTACACCAGAAGAAGAATTAGATTGTTTTTGTGGAGCAGAATCTTTCGTAAGTTCATCGTTTTGTTTAGTAGAAGCTTCAGATTGCTTAGATGATTCAGAACCTTTCGTAGGTTCAACAGTTTGTTTAGTAGAAGAAGGTTCAGATTTTTTATCATTCGAGGTTCCAGAATTAC